ATACCGTGACAACTGGTTCTACAGAGCCCCCGGTATGTTTTTGGAAGTTGTTGGTCAACCCTGGTGGTGCCAATTTTGTCTAAAATTACACCTTATAAAGAAGTAGAGAAAGTGAATTATTGGCACGAGTGCGGAAAATGTTCATAGTTTTTGAAATAATGAAAGGGGTTGTGAAAAACAGACTACAAGCTAGGCACATCATCTAGCGTTGTGAGTACTCCCTCCGTTCGATATTAGTTGTCTAAATCAGCGATAACTAATAGGGAATGGAAGGAGTACTCGCTAAGCCGATGTATTTGCACAATTACATGCCCAATATATTGTTTTTGTCTCACAAAATGCATTGAATTATTGCTTGAAATTTCAGATGGATAATATATCACGCCATCACATTTAGGTAAGAATATCATACCCTTTGCATGTGACCTACACATAATTCAAATTCTTCTTTCTATTTTGTCCTATTTTCACACAATATGCATATGAAAAAAACTAACCACCCAAAAACTAAAAGTATAATATATTTCGGTTATGGGTTCACCTAAATGATTTTTTGTCAGGAATTTTTTTGACTTGAAACTAGTTGCAGAACCAAAATTGTATTTATTTCACAAATATTGCAATAAATAAAATCACTTTGCTTACTCCCTTCTTGAAAAACTGCAAGCGGTAAAGCAAAAATTGCTTGTGCATGCTAGTTCACCCCCATCGATTTACATGTATGATTTCTATAAGCTTCTTTTAACACCTAGACATAATTTTCCTTTGCCAAAACCGACCACAGTGAGCTGAAATCTGTTAGATGAATGTTGCACCAAGCCAATAGTTTGAGGCAGAAAGATTAAGCTCTATCATTATATACGTAATGGCATGTGTTGACGTTATTAAGGATATCACAATGTATGGCTCTTTCGTGTAAAATTTTGAAAAATAGGATTATGAAAAACATATTAATGATTCCAATATGATCCTAAAACACATGAATTCAATAGTTTATGCCCATGGTGTGGAGGAAATAAACATGTGAACTTTAGGGGATGAGGAGATACTACACAGAAAGAAAGAGTGAAATGCATTGGAATCCTCAATGAAAAAATATACTCCCACCTTCCCCTAATCTTAGGCACCTAAGCTTTTTCATAAAATCGCAAAAATTATGGTGTGTTATCACTCAATTCCTCATATCCCCTCTTGTCCGGTCGGTGTAAGCTAACCATTGCTAATATTGGATCAGCCAACAATGTTTGTTAAAGGATATCATGGAGAAAACTTTCTGTAACCATGGCTCAGTAATTTGCGATTAGCCTTGTGTTGATTTCCATGCCAAAAGCTTACACGCCCTGCACAATGGCAAGGAGGGAGTAATATGGTTTGACCTCATGTTGAGATCGGAGAGCATATGAATGGATTCCATAGAAATTTGGTAACCCCAATCCTATGATCGAAAGGACCTCCATAGGAGAAAATAATAGTGAGGATTCAGATACTCCCAAAAAATTTGTGCAAGTCCCCCTGAAGATTTTATTGGAGTAACTGAATGAGATATAAAGAGAAACGGCAACACATACAAACTTACCCCGGTGTCATCCTAGGAGACTCTGGCGGTCTGGCCGCAAACCCTGTCCACCGCACACGAGGGACCTCCAACAGAAACACCTCTCAGGCTTAGAAGGCCTGCCATCAAGATGGTGAATGGAACATTGTTTCATGTCTCGGGCAAAAACTAACTCCGAGACATTTATTTTTCAATAAAAAAAATGATGCACTCCCGTTGTTACCTTGTACTCCTTCCATTCCCAAATATAAGTCTTTCTAGAGAATCCAACAAGTGACTACATACGGAGTAAAATAAGTGAATCTACACTCTAAAATATGTCTATATACATCCGTATGTTGTAGTCCATTTGAAATCCCTAAAAGACTTATATTTAGAAACAGAGGGAATAGAAGGCATTTTCTTGGTGCCGTCGTATTGCTTGGACCCGAAATCTTGTTCAACCAGGCTCGATCATGCAAGAACGTCATTACTACTCCCTCCATCCGGGTTTATGTTTCTCAGTTGTTTAATTGAACTAATGAGATGTGTGCAATATGCCCCGAAAAGTATATGTTTAAAAACTTCATTCCACAATGAATCCCAAATTTTTCATGGCATATAGCATCCATATCGCTATTCAAATTGATAACCTAAAATCCATGCCCCTTGTCACAAACCCGGATGTATAGAGGTAGTAGTAGTAGGTAGGAGTATATATTACAGTGCAGGAGCTGAAGGGATGATTGGTGGCCAGCAGGGTGTGGCCGGAGTAACTAACTAATTACTAGCTAGGATGATGACGATGAATGGGGTGGTTATAATAGTGTGCGCACTGCAGTAGCGCATGCGTGGCTCCAATGCGTACTTGTCTCCGAGCATTTCCTTCTCCTGCGCTGCGCGCATCGGAAGCAGAATGCACTGTGACATGCATGCACGGTCCCTGCTGCCCGCGACCAGGCCACAGTGCCACCCCTGCCTTCACCTTCATCGGCAGCATGCAAACATGCAATCGCATGCATGCAAAGTTTGTTAACCGGATCAGCACCAAGCTCGCTGCATGTTAGCAGTAAAAATTCACAGAGAGGAAAGGCAGCACCAGCAGCGAATGATTCTGCGTGCAGGAAGCGATGCTGCTGCCGGGGTTTGGGTCTCAACTTTTACCGCATGATCGAGCACGAGAGGTGGCGCCGAGTTCGAGGCTGATGCAAGGAACAGTGGCAGCGCGCAGCCTGCAGCCGCAGCTCGGTGCAGAAGACGGGGTGTGATGACTGATGAGGTGAGTAGAAGGAAGGAAGGGGTGTGAAGAGAGACAGGGGCGAGGGTGATGATGCAGTGGTAATTTAACAGGCATGGAGCCATGGACGGATGGACATGGATGCAATGGCGACGCAGAGGTGGTGGTAACTGAGGGCATGGGCCGCCTGAAGAATCCAGCGGTGGCTCTTAGTGACGTGACGTGTGTGGGCGTGATGTGTATGTGTAGTGATAGAGAGGTGGTGGTGGTGGTCAGGGGGCACACGTGCAGGTGGCGCCTTTTCGAGGCAGCAACAGTTGGGAGGTATGGCGTTCAACAGCTAGTGATGGGACACCCCCAGGCCCTAGCCTAGACCTAGCCTAGCCTAGGGAGA